GCCAGCAGCAGGGTCTGATGGGATAGGAAGGGAAGCAAGCTGGCAAGTACCAAAGATGGGGAGAAAGACAAGCTGGAAGGCAGCAAGAGCTACGTGAGGTTTGACTGCACAACTTTTTCCTGATCCTGAAATTTCTGGCTGCCTCTCAGAATCCCAAGTGGAAGGGAGAGATGGGGCAGAGTGAACGTAGTTAGCTTTTGTGGTGTGGGGCTTTAAACCCTCTATTGATGACGACTTTTTGATTGATCTTATAAACCCATCGCTAGAGGAGGAAAGAAAATGCAAGCAACATTTTCTCTAATCAAGACATTCTAGATCAGGGGTCGGCAACCTTTCAGAAGTGGTGTGCCGAGTCTTCATTTATTCACTCTAATTTAAGGTTTCGCATGCCAGTAATACATTTTAATATTTTTAGAAGGTCTCTTTCTATAATATATAACTAAACTATTGTTGTATGTAAAGTAAATAAGGTTTTTAAAACGTTTAAGAAGCTTCATTTAAAATTAAATTAAAATGTAGAGCCCCCCGGACTGGTGGCCAGGACCCGGGCAGTGTGAGTGCCACTGAAAATCAGCACGCGTGCCACCTTCGGCATGCATGCCATAGGTTGCCTACCCCTGTTCTAGATGAAGTTAAGTTGTATGAAGAAAGGTTATTGGCCTAATTCTCCCTTCACATACATTGTTGGTAACTTTATAGGCTTCAGTGGAGTTACTGATTATTGTCACTATGAAGTGGTGTGGCTTAATGGAGACAGTACTAAACTGGGACTCAGGAGACCTGGGTTCTACTTCTGGCTCTGCCACTAGCCTGCTGGGTGACCTTGGGCAAGTCACTTCCCCTCTGTGTCTCAGTTTCCCCATTTGGGAACTAGGGATAATGATACCGACCTCCTTAGTAAATCACTTTGAGATATATAGTGCTTTGCATCAGTAGAAAAGCTAGGTATTATTATTGTTATAATAAGTGTGTTCAACACCTAAGTTTAAAGGATTCCTTGTAGTAATATGCACTACATGAGGGGGAGGGGGAACGTGCTGTTTATCTAAGAAAGCCAGGTTTCATTAAACAGTAGACACAGTAATATATTACTCCAGAGAAGAATAATCCTAAATAAATTTATTGCAGATATTAAAATGAAATGAAATTGTCCAAATGCTGATATGAAAAAGGACTTCATGATTAAAGTGGTAAAACAGGATGTGCATACTGAAACATCAAGTGACTTAATCCGTATAAAAAGGGCACATGCCAGAAGGACAGAGAGCTTTCCTGACATGGAACTGTATCCCATGGACCTTAAGAGAGCCATAAACTAGAAGAAAGATATAAAACAGAGAAACATTTGACAACCTTGGAAACAAAGTCTAGTGTCAAATTCTGTGTTGCTTTACTTCATCCCTCTCTCTTATCCATTCAACCCCCATTAAAGTAAATAGGGTGTACAAGGAGAAAACAAATCGGAATCTGGCTTTTAGAATTTAAGAAGTGTAGTCTTGCTTGTATCCTTCTGCAATGTACTACAATGTCTAATTATCCACACATATAATTTGATGATTCAAAAATTACAGAATTATATTGTTATTTTATTGCACATTATTTGGTTATGGATACACAATGTGATATCAAATGAGGGCATGTAAAGCAAAAGCAAGCACTCCAGAGATGTTAGATGCCATATTGAATCTGTACATGAGCATTTTTTTTTGGACTGTCTAAGGAACAGTAATCACATATGATTAACAAACGATGCTATGAATTATTTTTGTTAGCGAAAAATTCCCCTTAGAGACCTGCATGATAGATCTTGACTGACATTTAACTTTCCCTACAGACATAAAAGAAGCAATTTCCATGGGGAGTATAAGCAACTCTCACGCCAATCCAGGAAAAACTCTGCTCAGATATCCAGGCTTCTAAATGTTGTATTTTGTTCTAAGACAGAATATGTTACAGTTGATTGTGAGCATGCAATACATATTGAGTGCATCTAGTTTCCTAGCTTTTTATCATTGCTTACCTGAAGAGCAAATAAGGAACACAGTGTAAGCTCAAAATATTTTGAACAAGTATGGATGATATAAAACAAAAAGTAAATTCAACACTAGTGCAAGGGAAAAGATGTTGGGGCCCTCTTTATACTTATAGTTGACTAGTGTGATTGTCTCAACCCCAGCTGGCTTGAGGGTAAAAATGAACTTGCACACATGAGTTTAAGTTCTGGCACCAGGAAAACATCTTTTACTCAGTAACCATTCACATAAGGAAAAGGATTCTGAAGCCAAAATCCAAAAAGTACAATGAAAGGTCTTCCTACATTCCAAAAAGGAGTACAGTACAACACCTTTCTGTTCTCCTCAAAGTTTCAGACACCAGGAGCTCCTTTCACCCTCTGCTGCTTTTATTTTTTGGGGAACCAAGTGATTGTGTGACTCATCACTATTCCCTTCTAGAGATCAAGCTGGCCACCATGATAAGCCTTTTGCCACAGAATCAGATGGTTGCTACCTTATCCAATGTCAGCATTGGCTGAATCTGGCTGTACTCAACAGTGTTTTAATCCTCTGGTTTTGGGGTCCATTCGACTCATCCCTTGATACTTGTAAGCAAAATTTTCCAATTTGGGTGTTGAAGGTTAAACACAAAATCTATTAAAGGGGCCAGATTTTCAGAGGTGCTGAGTACCTGCATCTCCAATTGAAGTCACAAGAGCTGCAAGCACTTATCTCTAAATCAGGATCAGGGTTTCTCAGGCGAGACCCCTAAAAATTGAGGCACCCAAAATTAGTGTCCATGCTACTCCTGACAAATGACACTTAATGCTTGTAAGCAGAAGGAAATGTCAACAAAAACAAAAACTTTAGATTTGTGATGCAGTCTGGGATTTCATTTGTGTCATTTATGTATATAGAAGCAGTGATTGTTTCTGCCATAAGGTTGGTGCTAGAAAGAGAAAGGTCAACAATAGAAAAATAAATGTATGTATTCCATCAAATTGCACGGCTCACAACTGATGGCAGCTTAGGTATTTTATGCAATAGACGCCTCGAACACAAAGTAGCCAGCATTTAATAAACACAGTAGCTATGTTTGGAGAAATCATGCCCTTTTCAGTTGATTGTATCCTCAGAAAAGCAAAAGGTTAGTAACGAATTCAAAGTCAACACCTCAGCTGTCATTACATATAGCAGCATAACAATATAGTTGAATTGAAAAGTTAGGTATTGTGTGATAGCAAGCGTTCTGAACAATTAAGGCAATTACACTTCGGTTTGTGCTTCACAAAATATCAAGGATTTGAAGTGTGATATCCTTTATCAGTCTTAACAATACAATACATTACACTAGTCAATGAAAGGGGGATCAAAGCAGTCAAAGATTTAAGGAAGAGGTTACTTGTTTCTGAAATGCCTTTGTAGACGTCACACTCCTACTGCACCAATTTTAACTGTGTGGTGGTTATTCAGTTTTAAACCTCTCATGACATCCCTTTAAAACCCATCTGTCCACAGTAAATTGGACTGATAAGAGCATAGGGTGCAGAACTCAATTAAGTTTAGGTTTACTGTGGTCCCTCCTCATTCTGGGTCCATTTCTGCCACCCTCATTCATAATGAGCAGCTTGACTGGCTCAGTGGTCAAAGCAGATTCCGAAGCTCACCAGTGCTGATGTCTGTTCTCACAGATCTTGGTGTTACAGGGTGAGGCAGCCTTACACTATCTTGTGCATAGGAGATGAGGTAGGGTACAAAGGAGTAAACATATTTGAAAGGGTTTCCTGACTCATAACTAGCCAGACAACAGCATCTGCAGTGTGTGGAGGGGAATCACCCACCTCAGTTTTTATCAGGATGGAGAATCTGTATTGGTGGGAAAAGCACATAAAAAGGTGCATGGTGGGAGATCCTTCACCAGAATCTTTAGAAATGCCTCAGGGAATTGCTTCCCTATTAGAAGGTGAAGACATTTCAAAAGGGATTTTAAGCAAAATAGATGCATTATGTATTTGCACAGAGAACAAGGGAGCAGGGTGGGGGTAACATTAACACTCTCTTCTTCCCCGCTTCCACTGTAAGAGAAAGGGAGCTGGTGGAGGCTGGAATCTTTACCCCCCCACCACCACCACTGAAGTGGAAAGAGTGAGTGAAAGGCTAGAGTTTCCTTCACCTCTCATCTCTGGGGAAGGCAACAGGAGTTGGTATTTCCTTTTTCTCCTTTCAGGATTTGCCTTTCGCCCAGTAGGTTATCCGTGGAAGGGAGAGATCTTTCTTCAGAGGAGGAGTAAAAGGGGATTCCCTCTTCTTTCCCTGTCAGGTGCTGTTGCTGTTCTACTGGAAGAAAAAGATGGGATCCCTAGGAACTCCTCCTCATCAGCTCCCCCAAGCCAGAGAAGGGGGAGCTAAATTCCATGTCTCACTCTTGGCTTAACCTTTGCTTACTCTGAAAATAGTCCCTTTGATTTCAAAGGGAGTAAGCCGTTGGTCAACCTGAGGTTCTTTGTTTTCTTAACTCCTTTTCGGAGGGCAGCATCAATGTCCAGAGTGCCAAGATTTTAAGAGTTATTTACATACCCAAGTGGGACTCTTGCTTTGAACACCAGCACCAGCAACCACCCACAAATCACTTTTCAACATGTTAGGCAGTTCATTAAATACAAATCAATACAAGCTGTCTTAAGAAAGCTGTTTGTTTGTCCGTCTGTCTAGGGTAATTTCACCTAGCAAAAACAAATATTTACTCTCCGTGCAGATTGTCAGGGCTACAGTAAATAACCATTTCATTTCAGTGCAAGCTTAACGCAGCAGCCTAGGCTCTCTCGGGAGGAAGAGTTATAACTAGGGTGACCAGACAGCAAGTATGAAAAATCGGGACAGAGTGTGGGGGGAATAGGTGCCCATATAAGAAAAAGCCCTGAATATCGGGACTGTTCCTATAAAATCGGGACATCTGGTCACCCTAGTTATAACACTACCACAGATTGAAAGATTAGTTGGCTTTACCTGGAGACCTTTTTCTTCTATCTTTTTCTGAAGTATCTGAAGGCACTTGGTGAAGTCAGTGAAGTCTTGATCCGGTGTCTCTATCAACTCACATCCCTAGCAATAAAAATAAGAAATGAGAGAACACAAAAGGTCAATTATTTCTCAGTTTCAAGAACAAGAAAAAATGGTTTCTCTAGTCGTTTGCTGGTCTTATGATGTACATCATGACTATGTAGATTGGATTATATATTGGTGTATGTTGTTCTTAATTAAATGAACTGTGGCCCATTTGCCCACAAGTCTGTGCATAGAGATGCAGAATCAGAATACAAACTAGAAGGTGAAGAGATGCTAAGGACCTAAGCCCCACACCTAACTAGATACACAAGTTACCCTACTAAATTCAGAGAGAACATTTGAGAGTCTGGTTTGTTGGATCGGTGCCTTCCCAAGCAATGAAAGTTGCAAGTACTCAGCAGCTTGTAGGATCAGACTCTTTTCCAGTAGTTGCCCTGGTGCTGCAATTGTTACATTTCTACTATATGCTGTATAAACGTAAGGCCACAAAAACACACAACGTTGCTGATTCCAGCAAGCTGATAAGTTAATTTGCAAGGATTTAAAAATCAAGCCTCCTTATACTACAGTAAATAATAAATAATAGAGAGAACACGTTAAAAATGGAACAGAGCAGTTCAGATTTCTTAATTCAGAGCTAAAATAATTCCTAAGTCTCTGCCAAAGAGCTGAGTAAGGAAAAAGTAACGTCTACCGTATAAAGTCACCATTCAAAGAGGTTTCAAGGATACAAAACACCCGTATGGCATCATAAATTATAATAAGAACCACACTTGCTAGATTTAGAGGTTCCCTTACCTACCACTTCAAGGTCTCCTTAAAAGCTTCCTGGCTCTATGTCTGTCTGATTCATTTTATATTTCTGCCCTACACCGTAGTGACCGATAAGAAAATTAGGTTCTCACCGCTCAAAACATATTATAAGAGTCTAAAAAAATATTGCATACAATGTTGGTAAGGCAAATAAAACAAATCTTGTCAAGTTTCTCCTCCATCTCCATATTTAAAATATAGGGCCAGAAACTCAAAACAGAGGCAGAATTCACTAGTGCAGCATGCAAGTAGCGCTTAGTTCAGTGGTCCCCAACCTTTTTGTGGCCAACAGCACATTCATGTTTTCAGAAGTGTGTGGCGGGCGCCAACAATATTTCAAGGCTTATTTTGTATTTGTACATTAAATAATATGAAAAACATCGTATTTAATATTACATAATATACGAATCCATAAGATAAAAAAGGTAATTTTACATGTAAAAGGTATTAATTAAATTATTCGGCAATTACTTTCACCTTACCATATGAATTTGATCTTTTTTATCTACCTATAAGAAAAATTAAGGAGTTTTTACAAAATAAATATCAAACAGTTTTCATCTTATTTATTTTAAAAAAGTAAAACATTGTTGAACTGCTGGTCCAAATATATTTATTATTCTAACTTTAACATAGATAGCCAGTTATGGTTAATTAAAAATATTCTTTGTATTGTTACTTGTATCTGGATTTCAATAAACAAACAAACATACATAAAAAAAAGTTAAACACAAGTTAATCATACGCGCTCATCAGCACTTAACGGAAAATAGGTATCATTAATTCATGTGGTTTTTCTAATAAAGTCAGTGTGATTTTTGGCACTGCATTTCTTCAGCCAATTTTTCGTAGTTGGGAGAGTAGGATGATATTCCCGTTCGTAAGCAATCATCAAGATGGGCATCTGTAAGCCGAGATCTGTATTTTGATTTTATGATGTTCATTGTTGAAAACAGAACTTCGGATAGATAAGTGGAACTGAAATAAGATTTTATTTTGTATGCTACATTTTTTAAGGCAGGAAACTTTTTTCGGTCAACCAGATTCCAAAAGTTTTCATCTGTTGCACAGGATTTTAGAACAATATCATTTTGAAGGTCCAAAATCTCCAGTTCCACATCTTCTGTCCTTACTTGAATGAGACTCTCAATCGATGTAGCCATTTCTATTACCTCTATTTGGCAAGTAAAAGGATTCACAAGAAAGGCAACTACAGGCTCAATGATGGTGAACTGTTGAAATCTCTTTTAAAATTGTTCCAGAAGTGTTTGAATGTGGATAACAAATGGTGATGGGTTAAAATCACTGTCACATACCATTTTCTTCATACTTGGGAAATGTACGAGAGACTTTGTCTTCATATGTGACATCCACAAGATCAGTTTTGTTTTGAATGATTTTACAGAACCTATCGTTTGAGCCACATGTTTGTCTTTTCCCTGGAGCTCAAGATTTAAAATGTTCAATTTGTCAGTGATGTTGGTAAGAAAAGTCAAGTCCATTAACCAGCTGGAGTCTTCTAGTTGCTCATAGTTCTGATTTGTGGACTTCAGAAATTCTTTGATCTCTTCAATTAGGCTTAAAAAATGTGCAAGAACTTTACCTTTGCTCAGCCATCATACTTCTGTGTGTAAGATAAGATCAGATTGTTTATCATCAACATCTTCCAACAGGGCCTTAAAAAGTCAGTGTTGCAAAGGTTTTGCTCAAATAGAGTTAATTATTTTAATAACGACATTCATGACGTGTTGAAAAGAAAGAACTTTGCCGCACAAAGCTTCTTGGTGGATAATGCAATGATGAGACATAAAGTTCGGAAAAGATTCATTCTTCTTGAAGAGTGCAATGAATCCATTGGCGCTGCCCATCATTGCTGGTGCCCCATCAGTGGTGATCGCAGACAGGTTGTGTAGTGGCATACTAATTGATGTGGCGTATGATTTGAATAAATTATAGATGTCCTCATCCTTTGTTCGCCCTTTCATAGGCAATACTTTTAGTAACTTTTCTTTTACGATGAGGTCACTAAATACCATCCTCACCATAACTGCCAACTGCGCTGTATCCGAGATATCTGTCGACTCATCGAACTGCAGTGAAAACCAGTCATATATTTCCAAGTCATCCTTTAGCTGAGTTTGCATGTCGCTTGAAATGCATGTATCCTCCTCGTAACTGCGTTGTCTGATAACTTCAAGTCTTGTATTGCCGACAAAATCTCACGCTTGTTAGGAAATCCTTGAAACAGGCAATCAGCACCAGTCAAAAATGCTTCCTTCAACAATTCACCATCTTGAAAGGGTTTTTTCTTCTTTGCGAGCAATTTTAAAGGAAGCAATGGTAGCACTTTTAGACTTTACCACCTGTCTAGTGAACACAGATTGCTGGGCAGATAGAAGAAAATTAATCAACTCAAATCAAACCTCTCTCAACTCAGGTTTAAGTGGATGGCTAATGCCAAAAGAGCCGTGATTAGTTTGGAAATGGTGTTCGACATTATGTTTTTTTGGCATTGCAACAGTAATACCGCACAATAAGCAAACACATTTCCCTTTATTTTCAATAAAACAATAGGAGTCTTCCCACTCTGCGTTGAAATAATACGTACATTGTCTTTTATTTGAACCACTCATTTTGGGGCAAAATGTTAAAAAAATAATAAATCGCAAAGCACAAGAAAACAACAGTATCAGTGCAGCGGAAGAATACTCACATATAGGGCCGGCTCCAGGCACCAGCGGAGCAAGCACATGCCTGGGGCGGCACATGCTACAGGGCGGCATTCTGTCCATTCTTGGGGCGGCAGAGTCTGAGCGGGTTTTTTTGTTTCTGCTTCGGCAGTTAGGGCGTGGTTTATTTTGGGTTTTTTTTGGCCCTTTGGCAGTTCGGATGGACTTTCCTCTCTCTAAAATGACCTGAACAAATGGTAGCTTTTTTTTTTTTAAACTTCCGGGACTTGTCTGCTTTCTTTCTTGTCTGCACTCCGAAGCCTTCTCCTCTCGAAAAAAACTCACCTCAGGGCTTGAATAGTGTCATCTTAGCTCACCACCAGACACCCAAAGCAATTAGTGCCTCCACAGTCACTTCAAAGCATCCATGCTTATTACAACAGGTATCCAACCTGTTCAAAATACTCTACAGACAGCTTTTACACCCAAACTCTTGGACAACAGAAAGAAACTGTCCACAGAGCATTTAGAAGAGGATGGGCACTCTTTAAGGGGAAGTCCCCTGACCTCAATGAAGTCATTAGGCTCCAGCCCAGATCTGGTGAGATCCACCTTTGAATGCCTTCCTCTCATTTTGTGCAACTTCATGTTGTACGGTCATGAAAAAGCCTCAGAGAAGTTGTGAAGATTTGTCATATTACCCCAAACCAGAAAGGATTTTCATCCTTACCAGAAAGATGACAGAAACCAAACCCAGGGAGGTTAGTGTGTGGTACGGTTTCTCAGTGGAATGTTGCTAATACTGTGAGGCCCCTTTTTGAAGATATTGAACTGGCACTGAGTTGGACAATAACATTGCTAAATGTAATTCCTTAACTGAAGCCCACTTGAGAAGAAGAGTCTGCTCACTCACTAATAGTGGGGCAGGCTCATTGTTTTATGTCTCCAGTGACAGGAGAAACTAGGTTGTGAACGACTGCATGAAAAGACAAGAACCCTCCTCAAACTGTTAAGAGTTCCCTAACCTGGAAATCCCAGACTCCAATCCAAGGCTCGAATTGTGCTGGAACATTCTGGAACACCATCCTAGCACTTCTTTGGGAGCTAGACCACCATTCTGGCACTTTCAGTACTATCACTTATAGGGTACAGAAGTGCCGGAACACACTTCCAGTACCCTTTTTCCATCTTGAGCATAGCCCCCATAGCCAGTCTTATAACAACAAGAAAGTGAAGATGACTAAATCAATGGCAGGAATGGTTACTCCCAAGCCTGGGGTGAAAGGACAGGAGAGTTTAGGACAGCTCCTAAATTCACAACAGAGAAGGAGGGTCTTATCTTTTGACAGGATCATTCCTTGGCTCCAGAGTGCTGGCAGAAGTAAGCAGTTTATAGGTCAATTAAAAACCCCCTCAACACTGAAGTATCCCTTTCTGCAATCACCAGCAGAGAGTCTTATCTCCTCCCTGCAGAGTCAATTTCTGGCAATTGCAGGCAGACTATAACTCTGCATTAAAATCTAGGAAGGCTGAACTACTTTACACTCTATTTTT